TTAAGAGCCTAGGATATCCTAGCGCTAAGAATGTTTCGAAAATGCTTGGCCAGTACCTTCGGTGTTGAAACACTCAGAGTGTTTGAACACAAGGCACTGGCACAGGATTAAATCAGTGTTCACTAATTATAGAGATTAAGAGAGTTTAACAGGTTACCATTCAACCGAAGACACTGGCACAGGATTCACAAATAGATAAAAGACTAGTTCATCGTTGGATCAACAAGAATTATCGTACACCAAGATATTTCGGTGAAAATACCCAGAAAGTGCGTAATTTGCCGTCAAGTTTTTCAAGAGTTGTGATTGGTCACTTAAGGGTTGTAAGAAATTTCTAACATTTGTCAAAAAATCGTAACTTGAACATTTTTTCGTTTGTCCTTAGTCAAGGTATGAATTTCTTTTTAGTTTTGTCAACACTTTTTGTAGCAATTTCTGCAATTTTGAGTTAAAATTTTTCACAGATGTTGGTTAGCTTTGTCAGAAAAACTAAAAAAATTTTATTGGATATTTCATAATGTATTCATTTCAGAGAGTCCACATAGCTAATATTATTTACTTCATATATCTACTTTGCATATTTCGATTCCTAATCTTGAGTTATATTTTTCACAGATATCTGTTAGCTTTGTCAGAAAAACTAAGAATATTTTTGCCCATCTTAATTATCAGAGAGTCCACATAGCTAATATTATTTACTTCATATATCTACTTTGCATATTTCGATTCCTAATCTAGAGTTATATTTTTCACAGATATCTGTTAGCTTTGTCAAAAAAACTAAGAATATTTTTGCCCATCTTAATTATCAGAGAGTCCACATAGCTAATATTATTTACTTCATATATCTACTTTGCATATTTCGATTCCTAATCTTGAGTTATATTTTTCACAGATATCTGTTAGCTTTGTCAGAAAAACTAAGAATATTTTTGCCCATCTTAATTATCAGAGAGTCCACATAGCTAATATTATTTACTTCATATATCTACTTTGCATTGATACTAATCTTAAGTTAATTTTTCACAGATGTCGGTTAGCTTGTTCAG